TCACCACCCGGGAGTCGGGTGAAAGTGGGCCAGAGGCAAGCAGCCCGCAGACTCATTTATTTCAGTTGGTACAGCAGCTTGTATAGCCAAGGCAGCCAATCCAGTCCAGGGGTGGTCAATGCCCTAACCAATCATAGCCTGTTTCCAGGCAGGCTCCATTGTCAGCAGTCATCTTGGCATGGCCTTCTCATTCCACCACTATATATATAGAGATAGATAGATAGATAGATCAGACCTGTTGTTAAAGCCTGAGACAGAGAACTTTGAAGAACAGAGTGGGGAAACCTAATGAGAGGTTTTGAGTTTGGGGCATCAGGAGACCTTAGCAAAGGGGTAATCCGATATCCAAGGCCTTTCACGTCTTCTGTTAGATTAATTTCTAAGCATTTTATGTTATTTTTGATGGTATTACAATGGATATTGTTTTCTACTTTTTGTCTGTTGTTTGTTATAAGCTAGAAAAAGGCATTGCCTTGAAAAAATAGAGTGCCTTTTAGCGTTGACTTTTTATCTGCATGGAAAGATTCCGTGTTTTTCCACGCACACAGTCACGTCATCTGCAAATATACAGTTTCACATCTGACTTTCAAATCTTTTTGTCTTCCCCGCCCCCACCCCCCGCCTCCTTACCTTCTTGTATATCGTGGGGCTTCTGATAAAACACTCAATAAAAGCTATCAGAGCGTGTATCTTAGCCTTTATCCTAGACGACACGTACTCCGTGTTTGGTAAATATGACGTTAGCTCCAAGTTTTTCAGACACGTCTTTTATCAGGGCGAAGAAGTTCCCTTTCTTTCCTGTTTGGCTGAGAATTTGTGTCATGAATAGACGTGTAGTGAAATCCTTTTCCAGCATTTGTTGGGATAACTTTGATTGTCTCCTTTCATCTGAGTGTTGAGTTTGCATCTTTCTCCTTTCCTAACATATGCATATAGAACACAAACTTCTAAGTACAGCTTTGGGGGCAGCCCACACTGTTTTCTGTCGGGTTGCTGACGTCTCCCATCCAAGCTGCTGTAACAGAACACCAGGAGCTACATGGCTACTTCTGGAGGCTGGCAGTCCAAGATCACGGTGCCGGCAGATTCGGTGACTGGTGAGGGCCTGCGTCCTGGTACGTAGACTTCTTTTGCTGGAGTCCCAAACAAAGGAGAGAACTCCCCGAGGCCTCTTTCATAAGGGTGCACATTGCGGTCGTGGGCTGAGAGTCTTTAATTGACGAGGGCTCCATCCTTAGAAGCCGATTGCCTCCCACAGGTGACACTCCCAAATGCCGGCACATGGGGGATAGGGCTTCAACATACAAATTTTGAGGGCGCACAAATGCCCAGTCTACAGAAGTCATCATTATAATTCAGTTCCGTATACTCTCTACTGCCTGTTGTGATTTTGTCTGTGTCATGTGAGTTTAAAGATAGATTCCTTAACTTTTAAACATTGGGCAATTTTCCATATTTGTCACATTTTCTTTAATCATGATGAAAAGTTTAATCTCTCTATGTACTCACTCACTAGAAGTCTATTTGATGTGATGTTAATATAACCACCCAGCTTTCTTAAACTATCTGTGATTTATGAAATGAGTTTAAGAAAACGCAGTCATGTTTTCTTCTTTAAGAAAATCCTGCCTGATAGTTTTTAATTGCAGACTTTAGACTATTTACATTTTTTAAAAAAGATTTATTTATTTATTTGAAACGCAGAGTTACAGAGGCAGAGAGAGAGAGAGAGACAGAAGAGGTCTTCCATCCACTGTTCCATTCCCCAGATGGCCATAGTGGTACTGGTCCAAAGACAGGAGCTAGGAGCTCCTTCCGGGTCTCCCACATGGGTGCAGGGGCCCAAGGATTTGGGCCATCTTCTGCTGCTTTCCCAGGCCATAGCAGAGAGCTGGATTGGAAGTGGAGCAGCCAGGACTCAAACGGGTGCCCATATGGGATGGCGGCACTGCAGGTGGCTGTTTTACCTGGTACGCCACAGCACAGGCCCCTAGACCATCTAAATTTAATGTGACTATTAACATAGCTGAGTTTATGTATGCCGTTTGGCAATTAAGTGATTTTTGTTCCTCCTATCATTTGTTCCTTTGTACTTTTCCTACTTTTTTCTAGGTGACTCATGCATTTTTAGTGTCGAATTTTTAAAAATGTATTCTCATTTTCATTTGAAAGAGAGATCTTCTATCTGTTGGTTCATTCCCCAAATGCCTGCAACAATCAAGACTGGGCCAGTCCAAAGACAGAAGCCAGGAGCTCCATCTGGTCTCCCATGTGGGTGGCAAGGACCCAAATATTTAAGCAATGACCTGCTGCCCCCTGGGGCATGCGCCAGCAGGAAGCCAAGTAGCCCAGACTCGACCCAGGCACTACATTATAGGATGTAAAAATCCCTAGTGATGACCTAACCACTGAGCCAAACTTCTCCAATCTACTATTTAATTTTATTCCCTCTATTGATTTTCTTCAAAACTATAAAGTAAGGAAGAGGCTGGGGTATGTTCTGGTCTTCTTCCTCTTTTTTTTTTTTTTTTCTAAGCTCCCACGCTGTATGTGGCTATTTGAGTGTTAATTAAATTTGAGAAAATAAAAATATGTCCCTAAATATTGTACAGAGGATGCGTGAGAAAGATTCAGGATTAGAAACAGGAAGCTAAGTTTGATCGTTGTTTTAGAAACACTGGTGCGGCCAGCACCGCGGCTCAACAGGTTAATCCTCCGCCTTGCGGCGCCGGCACACCGGGTTCTAGTCCCAGTCGGGGCGCCGGATTCTGTCCCGGTTGCCCCTCTTGCAGGCCAGCTCTCTGCTGTGGCCAGGGAGTGCAATGGAGGATGGCCCAAGTGCTTGGGCCCTGCACCCACATGGGAGACCAGGAGAAGCACCTGGCTCCTGCCATCAGATCAGTGTGGTGCACCGGCTGCGGCGGCCATTGGAGGGTGAACCAATGGCAAAGGAAGACCTTTCTCTCTGTCTCTCTCACTATCCACTCTGCCTGTCAAAAAAAAAAAAAAAGAAACGAAACACTGGTGCGATTCAGTGAGAGATTAGTAAGAGAGTTGAGGACAAACGATGAGATGAGGAAGAGGGAGAATTAGAGTGACTCGGAGGTGGCGTGTCACGTGAAGTAGAGGAAGGAAGAAGGCAAGCGGCTCACGGTTTCTAGCTTAGGCAAGCAAACGAATGCCGATGCTGTTAACTGAGACAGGGAGCATGGAGGTTGGAGAGTCAGAGTGGGGAACTGGGACGAGCTTTGTTTTAAGGATCTTGACAGTTACATGATTGTGGGAGCATGGAGGTTGGAGAGTCAGAGTGGGGAACTGGGACGAGCTTTGTTTTAAGGATCTTGACAGTTACATGATTGTGGGTGTTTCAAGGTAAGCAGTTGGCTGTAGAGACAGGAGACATAGCCATCTGCTGATTCACTTCCCAAATGCTTCCAACACCCAAGACTGGGCAGGGACAAAGCTGGGAGCCAGGAACTCAATCCAGGTTGTCCACATGGGTGGCAGGGAACCAGCCACTTGAGCCATCACCTGCTGTTTGCCAAGGTTTGTGTTGGCAGGAAATTAGAATAGGGATGCTGGGCCAGGACCCAGCTGAACCCAGGCACTCTGGTATTGGATAGAGACATCTTAACCAGCATTGTAACTGCTAGGCCAAATGCCTGCCCCTACTTTTAAGTATTGATGAAGTAAAAGGTATATAAAATCATTGTAATTGTGTTACAGAATAATATTGTAACACTCTGCACATCACCCATACATGAGAGTTATTCCAAAAGGTCATGGAAAATGTGCGTATGAAATGCATGAATTTCAAAAATATTTGCACCAAAATCTGTATATTTACTTAAAGATGTATTTATTTGAGAAGTAGAGAGAGATATCTTCCATCTGCTGGTTTGCTCCCCAAATGGCTACAGTGGCTGGAGCTGGGCTGATCCAAAGCCAGGACTTCTTCCAGGTCTTCCATGCAGGTGCAGGGCCCCAAGCACTTGGACCATCTTCCACTGCTTTCCCAGCCACTAGCAGTGAGCTGAATGGGAAGTGGAGCGGCTGGGTCTTGAACCAACGCTCATATGGGGTGGCGGTGCTGTAGATGGAAGCTTAGCCTACTACACCACAGTGCCAGCCCCACATTTTAAATCTCAATTACCTACAATACCAGGTGTAAGTGTTATGTAAACAATGGTCCTATTGTATTCTTAAAGAAATAAAGACAAGGAGAAAAAAGTCTGTATATTTTCAGTATAGCTGCAGGGTTCTTCCCCAAGTATTTTCTTTCTAGAGTTGGTTAACTCCATGGACCAAGAGCCCAGAGATAAAGAGGGCTAAATATGTGTGTGCTTCTTGGATTTGTTCTTCACTATCATTTTTTAAAGATTTATTTATTTATTTATTTATTTGAAAGTCAGAATTAGAGAGGGAGAGACAGAGATCTTCCATCCACTGGTTCGCTCCCCAAATGGCCACAATGGACCAGGAGCCAGGAGCTCCATCTGGGTCTCCCATGTGGGTACAGGGACCCAAGAACCTGGGCTATCTTCTACTGCTTTCTCAGGCACGTTAGCAGGGAGCGGGTTTGGAAATGGAGCAGCTGGGACTCGAACTGGCACCCATATGGGACGCCAGCACCACAGATGGTGGCTTAACCTGCTACGCCACAGCACCTGTGCCTACCACCATCTCTTATGTCACAGTGTCTTGGCTTCTCCATTAGAGTCCTGTGTTGTATTCGTGTCTTGATTAGCTAGATTTCATCCTCAATTAATTTGCTCAAGAAGGACCCCCTGGTCCCTGAGATCTGTCTTGTCTGTGTCACCTTTATACTGGAATGACAACTGGGTGGGCACTTGTCAAAGAATATTCATTAGTTCTGTACCTTTAAATTCACTGCCCATGACAGGGTTCCTACTGGAAGGAGCTGCCACAGCTGTGGCCCTGTGAGGTGAACCAGGGTGTTTGGGGGAGTATTAACCATGCACCTTCGCTTCCCTTCCTAGAGATAATTGATGACCTTGCCAACCTGGTGGAGAACACAGACGAGAAACTCCGCACGGAAACCAGACGCGTGAGCCTAGTGGACAGAAAGTCAGCTTCATGCGGTAAGAGAGAGTCGGCGTCACCCCGCTTCTCCCTTGCACTCACCCCTGAGTTGCCTGGGTCTGTCTGCTTACCCTGGGGATTTGGTGGCTCTTCTAACGTGGACAGTGCCATCCGATGAAGCTTTGAAACTGCTAAAAGATGCCTAAGTCTTACTAAAACTGGAATGAGCTGTGTGGAATTCAGAGGAATATCATTTAGAGTTTTTCTTAAGAATTTAAAACATGAAAACTTCCTCTGTGTTGACAGAAATGAATGGCTTGGAACATTGTATACCTGTTGCTGTGGATTTGTTTCTGGGAGGAGGAGCGTGGTGGGGTCAAGAGGCGCGGAGTCACCACACAGACCCCGGGAGTCAGGAGTTGGGTGAAAGCGGGCTTGAGGCAAGCAGCCCGCAGACTCGTTTATTTCAGTTGCTACAGCTGCTTATATAGCCAAAGCAGCCAATCTGGTCAAGGGACGGTCTATGCCCTAACCAATCACAGCCTGTTGCCAGGCAGTTTCCAAAGCCATCCAATCACAGCCTGTTGCCAGTCAGGCTCTGTTGCCAGGCAGTTTCTGAAACCATCCAATTACAGCCTGTTGCCAGTTAGGCTCTGTTGTCATGTGGTTTCCGAAGCCATCCAGTCATGACCTGTTGCCAGTCAGGCTCTGTTGTCATGTGGTTTCCGAAGCCATCCAATCACGGCCTGTTGCCAGGCAGTTTCTGTTGTCAGCGGCCATCTTGGCATGACTTTCTCACCTTCGCATTCCACCACATATACCATTATGCAAACTGCTGGTGGAAGACCTTCTGGGTTTTAAAGGTGAACTGGATGTTTGTTTTTTTTTTTTTTTTTTTTTCTACATCACCTGCTTATTTATTGAACCTTAAGCTGCAGAGCCACAAGGAGCTGCTCAGGTTCTGAGGTCTGATTGAGTTCAAATCGCATTTCGTGATGCCATTGTAACTTCTTGATACTTCCTTTGTAAAACATGCAACCCTGTGCTGAGATAAGCATCCCTGGGAGTGCAGATTTGTGGTGCTGGTTCCCGGGCTGTCTAGAAACTCCAGTGGAGTAGGTCTAGGGTGGTGTTCGAGAATACTTACTGTTTAGCGAGCACACGGAGCTGTTCTGACGCAGGTACTTGTTCTGCAGAAATCCCGACGCCGTTTTCCATGAGGTTTAAATTTCGTGTTGCCTGTGCGTGGTGTCTCACCCAAAGCAAGTGATGCTGAGTGGTGGTGAAGGCAGCGGCAGCCACAGGGATTGTGTTTGGTGCTTCATTCTGCACAGGTGTACCGTGTCAATAAAGCTAGCACGTTTATTTAAAATAGAAACACAAGGAGAGTAAGGGAACTAGTAATCCATGCACAGGTTTTCCCTGACTTGTAGCCTTTTTTGTATGGAAAGTACAGTGGGTTCCTCCAGCTGGATCCAGGTGTAGAATGATGTGACCTCAATGCCAGGGTCCCCTGAGAGGTGTGGCTAGAAGCACACTGCCCACCCTGCCTATATACTGGTGAAGCAAGAAGTCCAGAGAGCAGCAGAGGAGGCCAGGTTGGGCAGATTTGGATTCTGGGCCTTCAGAGGAAGGGGGTGTCCCTTTATCACAGTGGTCCTGCTCTCCCTGTCCTTCCCCCCCGCCCCCAGCAGTTCTCACCTATCAGAGGCCAACACACCTGGGCTTCTGCTCCTAAGGGTGTTTGCATCCTGTGGCTTCCTCCTGCGTTTTGCTGTGCCAGTCGGTGTGGTCTGGCTCTGGTGTGAGTGTCTCCCAAGGCTGAGATGTGCTCCCCATTGTGAGGAATTAAGAGGGCAGGGCTTTTGGGAGGTGGCGAGGATTCAGTAAGGTGGTGAGGATGGAGCGCCCGTGATTGAACCCCAGAGGCTTTGTGAGAGCAGGGAGAGAGACCAGACAGACAGACAGACACACCTGTGCCTCCTGACTCCTGCCGGGGCTCTGCCCACAGTAAGTCCATCACCCAGTGAGGCCCTGGACTTTATACCTCCAGAACTTTCCTTTATGAAGCAGCCCACCTGAGGAGTTTCCTTACAGTAACCACGAGCTGACCAGGCCACCGCCAGTCCCTGGGGACTAGATCCTGTGAACATGAGAGGCGTGGCTTCACTCCCACCTCTGTCTCCTAGGATCCTCGGTTCTTGTGTGAATCTAAACTTGCTGAAACCTAACCTGGTTTTCAAGAATTCCGTAAAGGGCCCAGCCGTCTAGCAGTGACCGTCTTCCCTATTTCTAGAGGGGCTGCAGCACAGCGGTTAGGAGCGGGCTCCCAGGCTCGCAGCCGAGCTTCCCCACTTAGCCGCTGTGTGACCGCAGCAAAGCCCAGGCTCCCCTTTGCCTCAGTTTTTCTACCTTTGAGATGGGGGATAATAAAGTGGTTAAAATAAATTGGAACCCACACATCTTCCAGGAACATTTTGAAGACCCCTCTTATAGTCAATAACAGGATTATTTATACACAGTGGTTCAGAACAAAGCAGCATGACAGTGTTAAATAGAAATTGAAAAAATTAACTTCCTTATTCTTTGAATGGCAATGCCTTGGAGAGAATTATTTTATCCCTTTGATTTGTTTCTGGTATTAATGTTTCCATCATTATTGTGTATTGACAACCAAATTACAATACTTACATTCTTTCTCACACCTGACATCTTTAAACGGATGAAAAAATTTTTTTTGCATTTTTCTTTTTCTTTTCTTTTTTTTTTTTTTTTTTTTGACAGGCAAAGTGGATGGTGATAGAGACAGAGAGAAAGGTCTTCCTTTTCTGTTGGTTCACCCCCCAATGGCCGCTGCGGCCGGCGCACTGCGCTGATCTGATGGCAGGAGCCAGGTGCTTCCTCCTGGTCTCCCATGGGGTGCAGGGCCCAAGCACTTGGGCCATCCTCCACTGCCTTCCCGGGCCACAGCAGAGAGCTGGCCTGGAAGAGGGGCAACTGGGACAGAATCTGGCGCCCCGACCGGGACTAGAACCCGGTGTGCCGGCGCCGCAAGGCGGAGGATTAGCCTAGTGAGCCGCGGCACCGACTTGCATTTTTATTCTTTAAAGGAACACTTGAACCATGTGTGCATTTGCTGACCTGCGATGCGAGCCTTTGCTGGTGGTGGAGGCTCAGCCTGCGGCCCCTTCGGCTCTAAGGAGGTCCCGCTTGTAGAGACACTGCAGCACTTCCTTCGCGGGATTTTGAATTTCAGTCACTTTTTATTTTCCACAAGTTCTATTTGGTCCTTTTTCAAATTTTTTGGGAAAAAAAGTCATTTTTTATTTGGAAATTAGACAGAAAGGCAGGCAGGTAGACAGAAGGAGAGCTTCTATCCACATGTTCACTCTCCAGATGCCTACAACAGCAGGGGCTGGGCCAGGCCAGAGCTAGAAGCCCAGGGCTCTGCCTGGGCTTAAGACAGATGAGTCAGATACACAGAAAGCTTGTGGGGGTGGGCATGTGGCCTTCTATAGTAGAAAGAAAAAGGAACTGAAATTCAAAATCCCATGCACGTATTTGGTACAACAGAGCAGAGACTCAACCAGTGGAGGATTTCTTTAAATAAAATAATTATTAATTAATTATTCTTTAAAAAGTTAGAAAAGCAAACTTTCCATAAACATTAATTTAGAAGATACTAGGCCAGCGCCACGGCTCAATAGGCTAATCCTCCACCTAGTGGCGCCGGCACACCGGGTTCTAGTCCCGGTCCGGGTGCTGGATTCTTTCCCGGTTGCCCCTCTTCCAGGCCAGCTCTCTGCTGTGGCCAGGGAGTGCAGTGGAGGATGGCCCAAGTGCTTGGGCCCTGCACCCCATGGGAGACCAGGAGAAGCACCTGGCTCCTGCCTTTGGATAGGCGCGGTGCACCGGCCACAGCACGCCGACTGCGGCAGCCATTGGAGGGTGAACCAACGGAAAAGGAAGACCTTTCTCTCTGTCTCTCTCTCTCATTATCCACTCTGCCTGTCAAAGAAGATACTGAAAGCCAGGATAAATCAAAGGCATTTGAGGGGTGGGGTTTTGGCCCAAGAGCCTCAAGCCTTGACAAAGAATTAATGACCTCGTTTCCTCACGTGCAGGACTGGCTCCATCCTGTTGTGTGTGTAAGCGCACGGGCGCACATACGTGAAGCTGCAGGCAAGGTGTGTTTGAGACAGGAAGGTTGCAGCGGGGACAGGGGCACAGAAGCAGTCGCTCCCGTGTGGGTCGCACGCCAGTGGCTGTTTAAGTGAGAAGGTGCGAGCGAGGTGTGGATTCCGAGGAGTGTGGGAGATCGGGTGTGAACCACCGTGAAATGGCCTTTTGTTAGCCTCCTTCCGCGCATCTTCCTCCATGGGCTGCCCTGTCACTCGGAGATGCTTGAGCAGTGAGGGAATTCCTGGCGATCAATACAGACGGGATCGCCGGGGCCACCCGGGAGAAGGGCCCGATGATGAATTTGTTTGTTCAGTTGTTAACAAAGGACCCCGGCACCTCTTTGTGAACCTTTCCCTCCATAGCCGTAGCCGGGCTGGGCTGGAACGTTTTTACCAAATTCTTTCTTCTTGTGCTTTTTCTTCCCGGAGCCCCACCCCAGGGATCGCATCTAGTCGAAAACAGTATTGCTTTTAAATTTTATTTTATTTATTTTTCCCTCCTAGCTTCAAAAACACAAATTAGACCGTTATTTGCCACCGGTCCACTTTATGTATTTTCAGATTGTTGCTTGTGTGAAAGGCATTGCCGTGAAAGTGGATCTTTGTGACTGCAGTTTAAATATTCAGTGAGCCTGGTCCTCATTAGAATTCACACGAGAGCCTTGTCTGCGTCTGACCGAGGGGCTGATTGTGAAAGCCCAGACTGAGAATTCTGAATGACTCTCGGCTCCTGGGCACACTGACTGTTACGTCATGTGGTCTAGGCACGTCGACTGTGGGTTCAGCATTGTTTGAGCGATGCAGTGAGGAGCCGGCACAGCGGACAGACCGGGCGTTCACACTGTCTCAACCCAGAACACCCACATGTGCCCTCAGCT